CTCTCTTATTTGACTTGAAGGTTTGACTGATGAATAATCGAAACAGGTGTTTGGGGGAAGTAAGGAAGCTAGCAGCTGGTGGGGGCCACTCTGCTGTATTAACAGATGTGTGTTCATTGAAAGAGTTGTGTGAGTTTCAAATTGCAGACTCTGTGACACCATGGAATGCTTCTATGATTGAAGATGTTGCATATCGAACTGGTTCAGATGCTTTGGTTCGTCTTTGTGAGAGGTTAAGGTATTTATATATTAATGTTGTAACATGTTTGACCATAAAAGTCAACTGTCTTATGAACCAGTTTTTTTGTCATTGTAGGGAAGATCACTCTGATGGTGGAACTTGCAAATGTTAAAATTGTTTATTACACTTCTACTTTTTCCTATTATAGTATTGTAGAAAAATCTACAAAAATTGACATATTTTGTTTTTGCAGGATAAAGCAAATTTTGGAATTCAGGGACTTGGTATTAGCAAGGTTTCGTTTTCAAGGGACAAAAACGTCTTTTAGTGATAGTGAGAGGGAGGAAAATAGCAGGGGTTACGTTTGCCAGTGATTTGATTAAGCAGATGAATGAGGTTATTTTCATCTTTTTACATTAAATAAAACCAGTCTTCTATTCTCACTTCCACTGATGTTAAATTCTTTTTTTTTTTGGTTAGGAATTCTTTATGGCTGCTTGTTATATTCGTAAGCTACCTTCTTGCAAAAGCTTTTCCTTTATCCACCGGTTCAGTTAGAGGGATGATGTACTAGAGAAGGGCGTTGAAGCTTCAAGCTTTCTTTGACATGGTTAATGAGCAAGGTAAGAATAAATATTTTAGCACCTTAATTTTGGTTTTATAATTAAACATTAATTTCGATTAAAATTCTATTTTATATATGTTGGCAAACCATGCAGAAATGTTAGAAGCTTATAAAGCTATCAGCATTCCATCAGAAGATGAGAAGAAAAGTCAAAGCTCATTGAATAAGGATAAAAACTTAAACAAGTATTACTTTAATACCCTTTATAATATATCCAAATAGTTGTTGCTTGATCAACTAAGGTATCAAGCTGTGAAATGGTCATAATAAATTCAAGTAGGAACTTAGGTTTGTTACTTGATCAACTAAGGTATCAAGCTGTGAAGTCACTCAGCAATATGGTGGTTATTGTGCTAATCAAGAGGTAATTTTTGTCTTCATCAAGAATTTTTCTTCTGGTAAGTTGTTAGTGAAATTTGATTGAGATTTTGTGCATATCATATTTTTTTCCATGTCTTTCTCTTTGATACTTTTTAAAATTCACCAACCAATTATAGTTTAGAACAAGTTTTGTTGTAAGACTTTGATACTTTTTGAATTAAATTCTAAGACTTTGATAAAGGAGATACAAAGCTAGATACTAAGAGTAGAGGTCTGTGTTTGGTTCCTATTTCATGTACTACTCAAGTTACATCGAATATGCTATCTGTTAACATCTTGTTCTTTATTATCAAGAGAAATTTGATGAAGGCTGCAGCTCAGGAAGTGGTTGACAAAGTGAGGCAGCACAATGGTCTGTTGGTTGATCAGGTGTATTACCCCAATGTATTGTCTCTGGTTTCTGCTTACTGTAAGTTTGTTCCAATGCAGTTGACTGTTTTTTAGAATCTTTATGATTTGTATTTAGTTTAATCTTCTATTCAGACCAAATTATCCTTGAAAGGACTTATTAATGATCATCATTTTTGGTAATACATGATATGGCATCCTGTGAAATTGTTTATAATTGGGTTGTTAATGTTCCTGTTTGTTTTCATTTATGTAGGTAACAATCTTGTTGAATTAGAGGTGAAGAACACATGACTTTCTGTGGACCATATGAATCAGATGTAAATGGTAACAAGTTTAACACTCGAGTCCATACGATCAGATATTAATGGTAACAAGTTTAACACATGTGTCTTTGTTATACATACAAATTAGGAAGGTAGATCTGACTTTGGACATGGATGATTATTTGTTAGTTTTATAGGAATGTATAACCCATGTTAGCAATGTATTATTTTTGTTTAACATTTGAATGATTCTTTGTATGACATATTATAATTTGTACAATTTATTTTATTTTTTGAGTATGAAATTTTATTTTATATTATGTAATGGATTGTATTTTTTCTATATGGTATTTTATTTCTATTTATGAGACATTAAATGCAAATTTAATTTAAAAATTAAGAAATATATAAATATATTTTTTTAAACATTTAAATTTACGATACGCAAAAATGTGTGTCATCTTTGTTTATGAAATGGCCTTTCTTGACAGGGGTTTTAATGATACGCATTGCGTGTCATAAATGCGCGTCGTAAATGCGCGTCGTCTCTCTTTATGACAGGGCCTTCCTTGACGCGCATTTGCGCGTCATCTGAGCGTTTTACGACGCGCAATGAGCGTCGTAAAATGCTGTTTTTCTAGTAGTGTACTGTAAAGTCTCAAACTTTTGTATGGGTTAAACATGGTGGTGACAGGGCAAAGTTAGAATGGAGTTTGTGGATTAAAAATCCTCTCATTTGTCTTTCAATAAACGAAAACTTTTGTTTTTTTAAAAAATTCAATATAAGCGTACCCAAAAGTGGGCTTCATCAACCACCACCACGATGAGAAAGTGGCATCCTACAAATACAATTCATCCTGCAAATACATTCAACAAATGACAAATTTATTTTTATAATTAAAATGTAATAAAAGTATTATTTTTAATTTTTAATAACGTAAAATATTTATTAAAATACATTTTAGATATCTATTGGTGGTAAAATATTCTTATTAACTACTATCTAAGCTAATAGAAAAATCATAACCACTTGTTTAAATTAGAATAAAATTTTATGGCCATTAGAGGCTAATTGGTTTGTTGGCTATCAGTATAAATTTATTTAAATGCTTATTTATGTATAGAAATTATATATTTAAATCGTTATTTCATTTTATCAACTCATCCATTTATTGAAATGATAATGGTTGGTTGTTACATTGGTAGTTACGTATCAATTACCTTTCTTATTTAACTTCATTCATTTTCACCTATGCTCAAAAATCCAAACAAATTCGTTAGTCGACTTAAAAAGTTTGTAGTTGGTTTAAAAGAGAATTCTAAATTTGAAGATAACAATACGAAATGTGTTTTTACTACTCGTACAGTGGCATGGAGTCAAAGATAAACAAATCACGAGTGCTCTAAAAGACAACTTAAGTGTTTTGTGGAAGAGAATCCACCTTCAACGTGGTTTTATCAACTCCGTTTTAAACATGGTTATCATGATTACTCATTTACTTGATCTTTTTTCTTTTAAACCGTAAAGGATTTTATTAAACTAACAATATGTTAGAATAAAAAATAAAAATAAAAGATTACAAAGCATAAATAGCCAACTAACCTACTCAATTGTTGGAGTAGGTGCACAAAGACAAAATTTGGATGGTTTGTTGACCGTGTAGGTTTATTTTCAGAATTGATATTTGGACAAGATATCACAAAATTCAACCTAGGTTGATCCACTATGAAATCTTTTATTCTAGGCACAGAAATAAAAACCAATTTATTAAAGATAATGATGAATGTTTAGAACCAGAGAAAACAGAAAACAAATACTCAAGAGATGTCTATTTGCATTCTTTTTAGAAAGGTAATATATATTTTGACAAAATTAAGGGTGATGTTTGAATTAATTTTAGTCATTAATGATTTTAATGAAGAATTCATGGTTTTCAAAACTTACAAAACTACCATAACTCGCCCATTAAACATGTTTTCCTCCAACAATTTGAACTAAAATTTTTGAAGAGGTTTAACGGCCTTGCACATAACTCTTAAGACTCCGCAAGCGGGCATGAGCCCCTAGACCACTGTCATTGTCGTCTCGGGATCAAACTAATCTTATGTAATTGTGCACTACGCACCACCTAACTTACATTAGAATACAATTAATAATTGCTTTTGACACTCATATTAAATCCAGCTGCATTTAAAATGCATGCTGACATTAATGCATGTTGACATTAAAATCACCAACACCAATTAAGTTAAAGTTTACTGCTTCTATGAAAACGTCAAAAAAAAATTGAGTAATAATTTTGTGAAATAAATATAGAAAGCTGCACTTAATCAGTTTGCTCATGTTCTATGTAGACACCAATGCGGTTTTGAAAAGAAGAAGTACCCTCCACAAAAGTTTTTACTTCCGTCAAAGAACCAATTGAAAAGCCTCTTGAATAATCTAATTAGTAAATATTTATATAACAATAGTTTAAACTAATGAATATATTAATATTAGTTGTGAAACTCATATATTACATAGGTTTATCCAAAAAAAAATATACAAACATGAAGATCTAACAATATTAAAATTTTAAATTTATAAGAAAAAAATATATTTATTTGTTAAAATTGAAGTGTTTATTTATCTTTTAAATTTAAACTAATAATTTAAATAAATAAACAACTAAAATAATTGGATTCAATTTAGAAATTTAGAAATTATAAGGAAATTATATTAATGAATTAGATATGCATTTATTATTACATTTAAGTATTATATGAAATTTAATAAAATGAAAAAAAAAAATCATAAAATGACACATGGATATAATTTAATTTAAATTTACCACAAAATGACATGTGTCATAATGCATAAAAAGATAACAAGTGGCAAAATTATTTTCATTTATTAGGTAGAATTTAAATAAAATGATGAGATAATATTAGTTTTACTAATTAACGGATTATACTTTTGTTTATAAATTACTAGTTTATAGCCCTTGGGAACCACGGGTTATCAAATTAATTAAACTTTCATAATAAAAATTTATAATTATTAATCAATTATTTTAAATAAATCATTTTAAATAAATTATTAATTAAGAGATATATCAAAATTTTAAAGTTATTATAACTTCAAATTTAACATATAATTATAAAAAGTAAACTTGAATTTTAAAATGAGTTGCCTAATATATTTATATGACACATGACATAATATTAATGAGGAGTTGTATTAGAGTAACATTTGGCAAAAAGAGATTAAAATTATTCATTTATTAGAACAGTGATTGTTGGAATAATGGTATTTTATGAGCAAGTTCAAATTAATTGGATTTTTTTTACCATTGCTATTTTTTATTTTATTTTATTATTATTATTATTATTATTATTATTATATTTTTTTATTAACTCTCAAGCACTTGATGGATCCATTTGTGATTTAGATCGGCATGGAGAATAGGCATCAAAGAGGCCTTTATTTTTCTTTGGTCAGATCCTTTAAACCACTAAACACTGATTTTCTCAATAATTTCATCAAACCTCATCATACTTCTAGCTCGCTTT